AGCTATATGTAAGAATTTATTTTAAAGTTGATTCAAAAAGAAACAATTTTGCTACCAAATGCAGTTTATTATCCAAAATATGTTTTCTGCCTCTCTGACAAATAAAAATCATCATCAGCCACACAACAGACTGAACAATGAACAATAACACACACACACACACACACACACACACACACACACACACACTGAACCTTCAAATTCACACTAATATAACAAAACCCCGTCAAACCAGTAAATATTTAAAGTGTCTATCAATTCAGATAAAGTATTGAAGAACCTTTTTCTACACCAATCAGCTGTGACCAATAAAGGACGTTCTGGTCTGCGCATGCGTGATTATCTCAAGCGCTGACAGCTAAAAACAAACACTCGCTTTGACAGGTTTAACACTTTAAGACTGTCACACACTAGATTCTTCGGTATATTCAAGTTTAATGTAACGTAACTTTAGAAAATATTCTTACCGCCGTGAGAAAACAAAAACAGATGCAGACGGACCTCCGCGACAGTTACCTCCACAGGTTGCAGGAAATTACGTGACTGCTCATGGGCAACTTTACTTCCTCGTCTTTAGGTTTACTGTGGTTAGACTAAAGGTGCAAGTCGCCCCCTACTGTAGTAGACGGTAACATCGTCATTACAGTATATTTTGAATATTAGACCTGGTTTCTATATATTTAATTGAAGCCTTTTGAGCTATCAGCTTCTCTTCCCGGACCTGCCTCACTCTGTTTTCCTGCATTTGTCTTTTTAATATGAACTTCCCGACTTCCTGACCTCTATGTAACATCGTCTTAACTCTGATGAAGAGCAGCTGAATTGATTACATGGCTAGTGCTGCTAAATCCTGCAGGAAGTGTATTAACAGAGGACTACAAAGGGAGAAGTGCTGAGTAATCTGGCCCTGTCATACCTTAAAGGCCTCACAATATCATTTTAGCTAACCTGAGCACTTTGCTCTCAGACTGCAGGCTTGTTGTTGGTTCCTAGAGTTTCTAGAGAAAGGATTCAGGTGTTAGGCCTCTGTCCTATGCAACCAGCTCAGAGACATACACCCTCTCTACTTTTAAGATTAGACTCAAAGCTTTCATTTTTCATGAAGATTCTGGATGATCATTTATGAATCAATCACACTAGAGTAAAAAATGAATGGCTAATTCATTGCAACTAGGAACAATTCGTGGTTGCATTTGGCAACTGATTGCAAATAGTTGCAGCTGGTGGCCCAGAGATTGAATGTGCCACATGCTAAATCCTAAACCTTTGGGTGGCCAGTTGTAAAGGTAAGCTGGTGGGAGACAGACAAAGGTTAGCAAATAACTGCTGTCTGACTTATAAATTCAGACCGATTGGTTGCTTTGTTCTAATGTGACTGTGGCATTAGCTGTGCTGCTGTAGGCCCAACCTGCTGGGCGACTTCCCATGATGCACCAATTCTCCTCTTTTCACTCCTAGTGCGTTTATATGGCACTACTGTAACTTTTCTCTGCTCTTGCCTGTAGTTTTGTGTTTTGTCTTATTTGTTGATCCTCCTCCATTCGGTCATGGCAGATGATTGCCCCTCTTTAAGCTGGTTCAGGGAGTTCTCTTCAATGCACCATCACCAAGTAGTTGGTCATGCAGGAACGCTAATACAATATTAAGCACCTTGAGATGACTGAGATGAACTGGAGGGATGCAGAAATAAATAATTTGATTGAAAATAATCTGAAGTATGTGTACTTGTGTTTTTTGTTTCTAAAGCAGCATAATCTAATAATTTCATGTTCTAAAACCATTTTCTTATAACTATTGCTCTAGGAAATGTAGCTAGTAACCTTTCAAAAGTCTTACAATTTAGAGTGGGAATGAACTTGATCCAGCTGGTCCAGTAGATGGCAGCATTACCCAACCAAGATCATCCACTTCTAAACATGGGAAACCCAAAATAACAAAATTAAGAATTACAATCATTGTTTGTCACATTTCACACTAAAATGCAGAACATGCACTGATTCAGTACTTAAAAACAAAAACAAGCAAATACAAACAGATTCTTTTTATTTTGGTATAAAAGACAGATGCATTTTTATACAGTTCAATAAGAAAACTCTGAATTACTACAAAATCAGTGTAAACATTTTCTGGTTGGTCATTTTCTCAAAGTCTCTAAGCCGAGACAGAAAAGAGTGCAGAGAAGATACTGTAAACACTGAAAATAACACTGATTGAAACTGTACAATAAACACATAAAAGGCAGCGCGCTGAAGAAACGAGTCACACGATTATACTGCTGTCCTGTTTTTGAGAATAACTTTATTTTAGTGCAGTTGCATAGTTTTGTTTGTTTCATCAACATCAACTCCCCTTTGTGACATTTCTGGAACATTTCTATACAGCAGCCCTGTTTTGGGTATCTGCTGCAGTTTCCCCTCTAGTCACAAGCAGAGTGAGTTTGCTCATTGACACTGCAGATACAAGATAATCTGGTTACTCACAAACACACACTATGACCTTAAAGGAGTAAATTATTATCTTCAGATGATGTCTTTCTTGTTGCGAGCTACATATGATGACTGTTTAGTGTAAGGCTGCAGCTGGGTTAGGTTAGCTTCACACGAGGACTGGAAATAGCTTCATACAGCTTTAAAATGTTTTCCAAGCTTCCTCCTTGAGACAGAATAATGTTGTGCACACCATAAAGCATGCTAAAATTCATCCTTTTGACTTCACACACATATGAACGGGATAAAATGAAACAACTTCCACTGCTCTATTAAAAAGCTACTTTCAGCTGCTCTTTTATTCATAAGGAGTCACCACAGCAGGTAGTTTGATTGTCTGAGATATCTTTAAACACTTGATGCCCTTCCTGTTGTGCTTCCCAGTCTCAAACTGGGAGAAGACACTTTCTTTACTTATTAGGAAAATGTGTAAACCACTACACTCCTAGAGGATCTAATTATTGTCAGACCAAATTAACCCTCAGTCATTGCCAAGATACAGAAAAGAATTTACAGTTTTACTGCTGCTCTTTTCCAGTCATTGTGTTTCTGAAAGAAAAAACAAGCTTTTTCACATGATGAATACAGATGTTGTAGTAAAGCAGTTTGGACATTTTGGAAACAGATGTTACGTGTTGTGACACCCCCTCAAGACGTCTGCAGAAAAAGCATTTCTGTTGCACAGTGGCGGTAATGTGCACACTTTAAACACCATCATCAAAAGGTCTGGATTAAATACGTCCATAAAGTAGCTGATTTGAGTCATTTTATGTATGAACACTGATCATTAAAAAGACCATTTTAATGCCCACAGCCTAGAGAAAAGAAAATCTAAAGGTTTAAAAATACCTTAATGTCAACATTTTTTTTTTTAAGTGTCCAGGATATTTAATACCAACATTTGTTGATAGGCCTCTGTGTAACTGACTGAGGTGCTACCTGTAGCTACAGGCAAGGACATCATAAACTGCAGCTGTACAGGATGTGGGCTATGTTTATAAAACTATAAATGTCAGAGGTTCCATACATGAATTTTCTTTGAATAAGTGAAAACACATTATAGCAACAGTGATATTGTGTAGTCCAAAGGCTTTCCTACATTTGTATTCATTTGTGATGATTCAAGCACAATGTTTGTTTACATGCTTCCTGTTAACGTGATCAGTAAGGGAGTAGCTGAAAGTAGCATTTTGTGTGTTAAAGATTTCATATTAAGAAAAATCTGGAAAATTGAAAGATTTCATTCTGTCCACGTGATGGGATGCAACCATAAACCTCTGTTTCCCTTCACAGCACATCTAAATGTTAAGACTCCCAGTTTATAGATTTCTATTCAGACATTCAACTGAGCATTTTTGTGGTCGACTCATTTGTTTTACATACATACAAAAAAAAAAATTAAGACTGGGAGGAGACACAAACCCAGCTTCTAGTGACTCAAGCCAGTGTACTCCCTCAGTGCCAGAACCAAGCCTGGATGAATGTGGGAGGGACACTGCATCAGCAAAGCCGAGTGTATATCCTCCTGAGAACTACAGGAAAAAAGTATCTTTCAGTTTAACTTTATTGTGATTTCCTGTCTCTTTGGATCAGAGGCCACACAAACACATGAGATATCATTGGAAACATAAATGAATAGACTGATTATCAGGAGGAAATGGTTGGAACCATTTGTTACGCCTCCCCTTGGAAAGAAGGGAGCAGCTGAAAGCATCTTCTGTGGATGTTTTTTAGGTCCATTTTATTGCTTTTGTTAGACCCATGCTAGCTGTTTCCAGTCTTTATCCCGCACTCAGCTAACCAGCTGGTAGCTGTAGCTTCATAGTTAATACAACAACAAGAAAGAGATATCGGTCTTCTTATGTAACCCGGATAAACACACAGCAAGAATCTCTCCCAAACGCTGGACTAAGCTTTGAAATGTTTAAACTGCTGAATGTGTTGAATTAAAAAGCTGAATCTGAGCGTTTTATTTACAACTTTATGTCTTTGAGTTATTCTCGAACCTCCACTGTTTTATCTAAATCACTGTGAGGA